TGTGCTGGGACAGGTTTGCGCTGAAGAATAATTTTTGTGCTAGTTGAATGCCTTTTTTGTTAAATTCTGAGCACAGGGCCAGGGCATCCATGTGGTCAGGGAATAAAAACTTGAGTTATTTAACCTGTAGGCACTGCCCCTAGAGGCGTTGCAGATGTGGCTGTTGTGCCACATTTGTGTCGTCAGGTGGCGGAGAGAAGAGAGGCTTGACTATGCCCAGCGTTCTGGCCCGTGGACATCTGGATGATTGATAGTCTGACACTTGACTGTGCTGATTGTGTGTGTGTTTATTGGCAGCCTGAAGGCTGTCGTGTAAAAGCACTTTAATTCCCTCCTAGTTCTTGGCTGGCCCTGGAACACGAAGTTGCCAGGGGTGTGACGGCAGCAGGTAGGAGTGACCCGCTGGTGCAGTGATGAGCAAGAAAGGTGAGTGGGTTTCAGTAAGGCTGACTTGTTGAAGATTTGTCACATTGGATTAAAAAAGGGTGGCACTAAAATTTTCCTTTCTAGCGTGAGCTCAATAATACCTAACAATCTGAAATAATTTGACTTATATTAGCTGGATCCGTGATGGGTTGTGCAGCCAGAAACTCTAGAAATTTGCCAGGTTTAAACGTCAGAGACAATTCCGAAGGCCAGCTGTGCTACCTACGTGAGGTTTTTCTAAATTCTAGAAAGCTGTTTCCTGTGCTGCCTTGTTTAGTGTACTTTGACCTGTTGATCTGTCTGGGGCCTCTTTAGTAGCTCCCTGGGAGAGGGTGCAGAGATTTCTAAGGAGGGCCCTCCTGGCTGCCCTGTGATCCCCTGGGTTCATCAAGCACCAGTCTATTGCCAGGTGCCAGCATAGGCAGCCCTTTTCAATTTTTGCCTCGGGCTGCCCATTGCGGGTCTGAAAGGTGACGGTGGAAAGGTGAAGGGTTCATTTGTCAGTAGCAGCCTTCACTAGTTCTTTTTTACATATAAATTTGTTTATTTTATTTATTTTTGGCTGTGTTGGGTCTTCATTGCTGCACATGGGTTTTCTCTAGGTGCGGCGAGAGGGGGCTCCACTTAACTGGGGCCACGGGCTCTAGGCGCTCGGGCTTCAGTAGTTGTGGCTCGCGGGCTCAGTTGCTCCGCGGCATGTGGGATCTTCCCGGACCAGGCCTCGAACCCATGTCCCCTGCATTGGCAGGCGGGTTCTTAACCACTGCACCACCAGGGAAGCCCAGCCTTCACTAGTTTTAAATACTGACAATAGCAATTACGGCAGCCAGCTTTTCTTGCACTCTGATTCTGGGCCAACCACTTTTGTTCAGTACAGGAAGGACAGCAGCTGTTGGCCTGTGAACCTAGGCAAGAATGACCAGCCGACACAGTCCAGACTAAGGTGAGAGGCGGTGCTTTTCTGAGCTCCTCCTGGAGGCCTGCTGGGCGGGCGGGACACTGCCCTGCAGATGCTGGACTTGCCGGCACCACGGGTGCGGCAGCCCTGCTGCACCTGTGACGTTGGGGCGGAGAGGAAGCGGCTATTTCTACGCTCAGTGCTCAGAACAGTGGGCACTAAGAATGGTTTGTAGCCGGACATCACCAAAAGCTGCAGGAGGGAGCACCTTGTTTCCACGTGCATTTGCAGTGGGAGCTGTGTGCAGGCCCTTGAAGACTCTGATATTCTTTTTCTTTATAAAATAAAGCTTGTGAGAATTAAATGAGATATGTATACAGGCATATAGCAAGCTTTGGGCACAATGGGATTGACCAGGAGAGAGTCTCCTTACTGGAAATGAATGTTCTGTTGGTCTGCCTGGTGAGGAGTTTTTAGGAATATCCTTGGGCAAGTTTGACCTGCATCCCTGGCTGAGGGCCGCTGAGCTGGTATCAAGGCCCTGTGGGGCTTCCAGGCCCTGTTCAGAGTAGGACCCTAGGTGGGGATGAGGGGGCCCCAGAGCCACTGGCCCACGAGCGCTCGTACTCTGAGGACCTTGAGACGAGTCACTCTGGAAGGAAGGCCAGAGGTTTGCTCCTGGCTTTTGTCCTGTTGGTGAGGCAGAAGTCGGGCCCCTTTGTGGAGCCCCTCGACGGGCCGACCGTAACCCTATAAAAAATGATCATCCAGACCAGGGGTGTCTTGGTCTCCTTGCAGTTGGAGAGTGCATTTTGCTGTTTCCTGAATTGTTTTAAGTTGGAGGGTTGAACAAAAGCTGTAGGTTAGTGGCTGTTCAACTAGGGGCAGTTTGTCCCCCTCCCAGGGCATGTGGCAACTTGCAGGGCAGGACACGGATGGGGTGCTGCTGGCATCTAGTTGGTGGGGTCCAGGGCTGTGGCTGCATGTCCCGTGGTGCCCAGGACGGCCCCACAGTAAAGCTACAGGGTCCCAAATGCTGATAGGGCCAAGGTTGACAAACCCTGCTACAGAAAATAATTTGGGAGGGATTCATGGACTGGATTCCATTTCTCAGGTCCGTGGGCCCAGCTCGGTCCTGTGTGGCTGGTCAGTGGAACAGACCTGCAGGTGTGGCTCTTGTCACTCTAGGACTGGCTTCAGGACAGGTAAGTTGGGAGCGGGGTGCCTGGCTGGGGGTCTGACAGAACTTTCGGACCCTTTAATACAAGCACATGGTATCAATTGTGGGTGTGCTTTGAGGAGAGGTGAGAATGTCCAAGTAGCTGACAGTGAAGGCCACTGTGGGCAGAACTGGTGGTGAGGCAGGACAGTGGCCTGACCTCAGCCACCTCCCCCGTTAGTGTGTTGGCAGCAAATTGCCAGGTCTGTGGCTCAGGGCGGCCTGGCTGGGTGGCTCTGGCTGCAGCATCTGAAGGCTTGATCGGGCCAGAAAGAAGCACTTCCAAGACGGCATGTGCTCCGGCTGCTAGCAGGGGCCCGAGGCTCCTCACGACAGCTGGCTTTCCTCCAGAGCTGGTGTGACCCACCCTCAGAGCCAGCCCTGGTACCCTGGTGCCCTTGAGAGGGACCATAGGGTGGGCGGGAGCTGCCTGCACAGCATGTGTCTGGTTGGTTCTTAATCCAGGTTTTGGATGTGTGCTCTTTATTTTTTGTTGTGTTTTGTTTTTTGTTTTTTTGAGAATCTTGAACTTTTGGCTACTCTTGGCTGCTACTAAGCAGCTACCAGGGTTTTTGCCCACTTCCTTGTGTCGTGCACTGTGGCTTGTCAACTGGAGTGGGGTTGGGGTGACAGTGTAATTGCCAGAAGCAAGCCGACTTGAGCAGAGAGGGTGGCAGGTGGCGGTACATCCAGTAGGTCCACCTTTGAGCCCGGCAGCAGCTGGGTTTCCTGTCCCATCCTACTTGGTAGAACCTCCCTGGCTGAATTCCCCTAGAAACTGGGTGGAATGGTCAGAAGGAGAGGGGAGCAGGGCTTGGCGTGTCTGGCAGGAGAGGCTGAAGAGGCTTGAGCAGCTGTGTCCTTGCATCCCAGAAGCCAGTTGCTCTGCTGAGGAGGCTTGACTGTGGTCCATCCCATCCAGCACTGGGAGTGGGTCATCTCGGTTTTCTCTCTGCAGATCCCGCCGGAAGAGCCCAGGGCACCGCCCTCAGTTCTCCAGGAGAGTGCGCCTGAGTGGAGCCAGGGGAGTGCGCGCGACTCAGCATGGGGGCCACGCACGTCCAGTCTGCCGGCAGGGGCAGTGGGGAGCCGGGGGAAGCCATGGCCTTGCGAATGTCCTCTGATGAAAAGGAACCCGCAGGCTTATAAAATAACTTGTGTGGAACGTTGGTGTGCTGAAAAGCAGTTCTGTGTGCCTTTCCCCCTTGGTGTGGATCAGCGGTGCTGAGGCAGCAGGCGTGATACAGAAGTGTGAGCAGAGACTTTCTGGAATCCCCAGACTCCAGGGAAACTAGAGGTGACGGCCAGCCTAGTGAAGAGGACAGGAGGCGGGGGCAGGGGCGGCAGCCCAGCAGGCACCCCTCATCTCGGCCCTAATCCTGGCTCGAGCCGGGTGGTCAGGGGAGCTGCACGGTCTCCTGGGCGAGCAGAGCCCACAGTCCTGAGCGGTTCTTCGCTGTGTTGGGTCATCTCCCCCCATCCAAGCGGAGAAATCTAGATGAGGTTTAAGAGCTAGGGCTTTAAGAATGTGGATCTCATAGTTGAAACCTCGGAACACGTGTCTTCAGCACCAGGTGTTAAAGTGACCGCCTTTTCGAGGAGGGTGTCTCCATGTGGGCAGAACTAGAGAATAAATGGGTCTTGAATAAACTGTCTTGACTTGCGTTTCTCTGTCTGATCAGCTGAGGGCCCAGCAGGAGTTGAGGGTGTGAGGGTTCAGGCTCCTGGGCTCACAGCTTCCTGTTTCAGGGGGAGGAGGGCACAGGGGACCCTTGGCTTTTTCCCGGACAGTGGATGTTACACCTAGTGGTTCATTGGCATCAGTGGAGAAGCCTTCCTAGGCTGGGCCGCACTGTTCTGTGCAGCAAAAGCAGTACAGGGAGAAGTTAGTGTAGAAACTCTTACGAGAGAAGAAACTTCCGCCAGCCCACCCCCCCACCCCACCCCGCCCCGAACCACACTGCGTCCGGACTGGGGCTCAGCTTCCAGCACCCTTGCCCTTGCCCTTGCCCTTGCCTCCAGTCATAACCCCAGTCAGCCAACAGCCAGGATGTGGCTGCCCCCCACCCTGCCCCAGCCCTCCAGCAGACTGTCCAGGCTGGGGCCTGGAGTGGGCTGAGGGGACTCGGGTGCTCAGGGGAAATGTATTTATTTACACATATGTTCTCCAAAGTAACAAAACCTTGGTCTAGGCAGGTCCCTTTGCCAGCCCTTGGTGCTTAGGCTCTAGGTCCTTCCCTCTCCTCCCAGCCTCTCCTGTTCCAGCTGCACAGTACCGTCTGGGAGCCTAGAAAACCCTGGGGGTGGGTGTAGGGGCAGGAGCCCCACGGCTGCCCAAGCTCTGGAGACCCATAGGGTCTGGACACTGGAGCAGCCCCGTCCTTTGGTGGGGGAAGCGGGGAGAGGGCCAAGGGCAGGAGTGGTTCTTGGGGCAGGGCGGGAGCGCCTGGCTGGCCGTCAGGTGTACTTGGTGTTGGAGATCTCCTTCCAGAGCAGGGTCTTGAGGTGGCTGAGCACCAGCGAATGGTGCGCCTCCACCTGACTGGCCAGCCCGCTTAGCGTGGTGCACGTGCGCAGCTGCTTGCCCAGCTCGGCGCGCAGGCCGGCGGGGGCGCCGGGCAGCAGGTAGTCCCGCAGCAGCTCGCACACCTTGGCCAGGTTGGGCTGCACCAGGTCGCCCTTGCACTGCCGCAGGAGCGTGTCGCAGGGCGCCCTGCAGTCGCGCCCGTAGGTGCAGTCCGAGCTGTGCTCACAGCGGCGGCCCCGCAGGAAGCGGTGCACAGCGGCCTCGGGCGCCACCTGCTGCAGGTCAGCCATCCTGAAGTCGTACTTGGCTGTGTAGCCCACGTTGGCTAGCGTGGTCTCGCACATGTAGAAAGTCCCGTAGGCACCGTGGAACAGCTCCTCCACGAACTCCAGCAGGCCGATGGCAATCTTGGCGCGCCAGGGCCACGCGGGCCCCAGCCACTGCTGCAGGGCCCCGTGCAGGGCAGGTGGCAGCAGCGGGCGCAGCAGAGGCGGGAGCGCGGCCCCGGGCCAGGAGCTGTGCGGGACCCCCTCGGTGAGGTACAGGTCCCCGCAGTAGCCCAGCAGCCGGGAGGCGTGCTCCTTCTCCTGCAGGGACAGCAGCAGCAAGAATTCATTCCGCTGCAGCAGGGCCCACACTGACTTGGCCTCAGCCAGGGACACCCTGTGGTCCTTGTTGAAGTCGGCCATGAGCAGGATCTGTCCGGCCAGCGCGGGCAGGGAGGGCAGGTCTCCCAGGTTTGCCTGCGGTTTGGGGGCAGGAGAGAGGAGGCCAGGGCGTCGGCCAGCTGGCCAGCAGGCTGCGCTCCGGACCCCGTACGTCCGCCAGGCAGGGGGAGCCCCGCCTCCAGCCGACAGGATGGAGGGGACAGCCAGGGACCTGCAAGGCCCCCTCGCCACTCCTGGAAGCCCAGCTGCGGAGCCGCAGCACTCACCGCTCATCTGCCCCTCCCGCTCTCCCCGAAGATGCCCCTGGGGCGGGGCCTCAAGCCTCTGGCTGCTCCCTGAGGGAGGGTCTGCTTGGAGCTGGGGGGGCTAGCCAGGCACCTGGCTGGCCCGTGAGGCCTCCACCCAGCCTGCCTCCTGCCCTGTCACACGTCCCTGGGCATGAACTTGACTGGCCCCCAGGAGGGCCAACTGACCTTGAGAAAGCTTAAGGTCATCTCCTGGAACTCCTTAATCGAGGTGCCGCGGGTGGGCTTGTCAAACAGCACCAGCTCCCGCCGGGGGGCCGCATCTGCCCCCGCCATCGAGTCCAGGCTCTCCTCAATGCCACACTTGATGGTCACCTCCTTGCCCTGCCAGAGCCCGCTGTACACCTGCACAGGACCACAGGGACCCTCCGTGCAGATGTCCCCCTCTGGCTGCACCGAGGGCGTCTGAGCCCTGGGGCTGACCCTGGCCCGACCCTGCTGGGCTTACCTGCTGGCCCGGGACAGAGGAGAGGCAGGTCCTCCACTCCACCTGGTGCAGGTTGCACAGGTCCTGGCAGATGGAGCCTGAGATGATGCCCTTGCGGTACTGGTCACACTGAGAGGAAGACACAGGAAGTGGCCTGGGGAGGCCGGGGCTCGTCCTGCCTGCCCGCCGGCCCCTTCTTTAGCCAGATGCACAGGGAGAAGCTTTCTGCAGTAATTAGATCAGGCTCTGGAGTAGCTGCCGCCCCCACTGGCCCCTTCTCGGCTCTAGACAAGGCCTTGCAGCCTCCTGAGTCCTGGGGGTCTGGGCTGACCTGAGCAGGTGAGGCCGGAGGGGATGGAGTCAGGCCCGTCCCTGCGGGGGGTGGGGGGGAGTCGTGGCGTCTGGAGCGGGTGGGGGGTGAATTCCTGGATGCGCATCACCGTTGCCATGGTGCCCAGGCCCTTGGTGGAGAGGGCCTGGAGGAAGGAGAGGGAAGGGAGGTGCAGAGAGAGTGCTGAGGGGCGGGAGGCGCCAGAGGCCCTGGACTCACCTATGGGGACCAGGGAGGCCACGACAGCTGTTCATCCAGAGGAAAACCAAGAGACCACACACTGTCATTCTGCCACCTTGGAGGGAGGCCCTCCACCACAGGGGTCTGTTCTGACCCCCGAAAAGCCCCAGGGCCACAGGGCCCTTGTGGGGTGGTCTGCCAGGGAGCCTGGGCAGCAGGGCTGGGCCAGGGTGGGGGAAGGGACTTGTCAGCCACACCGCCCACCAGTGTGGGGAGAGGCTTCCACGGAAGCTGAGGTGGGCAGTGTGTCCATCAGCCTCAGGGCTTCTGCGACCCATCAGACATCTCCCCTCCCAGCCTGTTTACTGTGTGCAGACTGGGCGGTGGTGGGGACCCGGCCGAGCACCCAGAGGTCCATGGGCACCAGGTCCACGGCCCCTGGTCCTGCCTTCCCCACACACACACTGGGTGGCCTTGGACAAGCTGTGGAATATCTCGGAGACGGCTGATACCCCCATGAGGTGGGCAGGTCTCCCCTGGAAAGGAGAGGGTGTCCCCACGGCCCCGGGGACAGGCCTCAGGAGAGCTGGTCCCAGCAGCCAGGGCACTCTGGGAAAACGGAAGCTGCAGTTCCTCTGGCTGGGAGGGGCAGGCTCCTCCTCTGCTCCCCCAGGGCCCCTCAGTCCTCTGCATGTTGGGGCGCTACTGGGGGCACACAGGAGGTACTCAGAAAATACCCGCCAGCTCTGAGCGTCTGCTCACTGCATGCCACTGGCCAGACCCCATCTCACGCCTCCTTCCAGGTCTTGCTGCCCGCAAAGGCCCCTCCACCCACTGCCAGCACCAGGCGGCCGGGGCTCATCCCAGACCTCCCGCCCACACCTGGAGGCCGGGCTCCATCCCCACACACGCCTGCCCCCGGGTCTCCCCAGCTCCCCGCTCCCGACTGTGAAGGCAGAGCCATGTGTCCAGCACCCAGCTCGGGCCAGGCCCCTGGAGGCCCCCAGTGAGCCTTTCTGGAATAAGTGAGCTTGCCTGAGAATGGCCGGGAGGCCTGAGGCCTTCTCTGAGCTGGGACTGCGCCCTCCGTGCCTGGTGGCAGCCCCGCCCCCAGGAGGCCTGAGCCAACCATCAATGGGCCCCTTACAAGTCCCTACGCTGCTCCCACCGCCACCTCTGGACTTTCCCAAGTGCGGCCCCCCTGGGACCTTGCCCAGAACAGGCCTGCTGAGCCCTTCCGGGGCGCCACACAGCCCCCCAGGAGGAGTGCTCTCATCCTGCAGAGGAGGAGAAACTCCAGGCCCCTGGCTGGTGCGAGGCAAATGGAGACGGGTTCAAGGCCAGGCGTCTCCCACGGCTCCCGCTTCGAGACCCCAGGAGCTCTGCTGCGGCAGGGCAGGTCTGTCCCCAAGTGGCATGGAGGCCTCAGAACCCTGGTCGGCTCGCCAAGGGCTCCAACCTGCCTGGGGAGGACAGGCAGGGCGGCCGGGGGCTGTTGGGGGGGGGGGGGGATCAGAGGCTGAGGTTTGCCAGGGCCCCTTCGGCCGGCCTCACCCCGCCCTCCAGCCAGTCACGGCATCAACAGGGGAGCAGTGAGCCACCCTGTGTGCACGCTCGTGGGCACACAAGCGCTGGCACAGACAAGCACACGCAGGCTCACGCGCCCTCACATGCACGTGCACGGCCTTGCTGCAGACGCCACGGTGGCGACTTAGCGCTGTCTCCCGTCTGAGGCCCCGAAGACCACGCCCCACAGCCACCTTTGCTGGGCTCCTGGCTCCAGGAGGGGCCCTCAAGGCCACCAGTGCCTGCCTGTCCCCGTCTGGGCTAAAATATCTCCCTCAAGGACACCTCTACATCTGGATCTGTCCATCTGCCCGTCCCCAGCCTCCCGCATCTGCGCAGCCTGCCCTTGGCCTCTGCATTCCTCTCTGGCCTCCCCCGTGGCCCGCCAGGGGCAGCTCTGCAGTCGGCACGGTCAGATGTGTCTTAAAATCCTCTGAGCCGGCGCCTCTGAGCCACGTCTCTAAGCTGCCACGGCAGGAGCGCTGGCCCAGGAGCCCACAGGCCTGGCCTGAGGTGACACTTACGATGACCACCTGGCAGATGTGCCCGCGGCAGAGCTCAGCGTAGGACGAGTAGTGAACGTAGGCCAGCCAGCTGCCCGCGAAGACGCCCAGCCAGACCAGGAAGACGTACTTGACCCGGAGGCCCGGGAGCCGGCCCTGCGGGGGAGGGGGCCATGAGGGAGCGCCGCATTTGGGGTGCTGACCCCACGTCCTGGACCCCAGCCTTCCCGAGGGTTGCCCCCCACTCTGGGGGCCAGCACCTGCCCAGCCCAACGTCTCCCTCCCCCTCCACCTACTCACTGTGGGTGGGGCCGGGGCCTGGTGTCTCCCAGACCTTTAAATCTCACGGGCAGGTAAAAATAAATTCCAAAATGAGGGAGATATGGAGTAGACGCTCATTATTTTGCTGAATAAAGAGATTTCGAACAATTTTCCCTCCTGTCCTGCCCTCATTTCATAGTGACATGTAACCTCTGCACAAGGTCAGGCTGGAGAAGCACCCACACCCCCACGCACTGTCCCCCTGGGTGGTGGAGATTTCGGGCTGGACCCGGGCCAGCAGGGGCCGCAGGGTTGGAGGCACGGTCACCCTGTGAGCCTTTAAGAGACACGGCCTCACCCACCCACGATCACAGAAGCCAAAGGGTGGATACAGCCCGCTTGTCCATTGACAGATGAGTAGATAAACCAAATGTGGTCTGTCCACACGACGGAATATTATACAGCCACGAAAAGGCAGAGAAATCCCGACCCAGGCTACAGCAGTCCCTGCCCTGGCCCCTGTGGGTCCTGTCACCCATGGGCGACTGAGCCCCTAGGACAGGAGGACATCATGTTCAGTGAAATGAGCCAGACACGAGACAGATCCTGTGATTCCACCCATGCGAAGGCCTCGAGTCAGATCCACAGAGACAGGAAGGGTTCGGGGCG